TTATACAAGAACTACAGTAAACAAAACTAATTAAAACTTCAACAAATTTTGCAAGCTGGTAAAAATTGAAAAGGTGAAAAGGTTGTAGTTGTATTAAATTCATTTGTGATCTTGAGTAAAAATTATTTTTTTGTGAATCCAAAAAACGAAAGTACACTACAAATAATGTAAATGTAAAATTATGTACACCACTGTTTTATTGTATTTTAATATGACATCATAATGAGAGTGAAGTACAATTTTTATGTTCTCCGGAACACATGTAGCACATGTCTGTTGTTGAGTCAACTCATCTATAGAAGACATGATTTGATTGCACCTATTAACAAACAAGGTGCTTTCTGATTGGCTAGATTGTTAGTTGTAATAGTTGTGTAGCCAATCAGGTACAACCTTTGACTTGTGCAGGAGTGTTAGTAATGAATTATTATAATTAATTTTTATAATTTCCTTGACGTAACATTAAAATTACAAAATCACACAAGTATCTAACAGACAAATTCAGATGACTCAGGATAATAATTGTTATATTTCATGAGGATGGTACTCTAGGGACAGGAAAGGCATTTGCTTCATCTTTATAAATTTCACAATTCAAATAAACAAGAGGTTTCTATTGGCTGGTTCGATTAACGCATTTAAATGACGTCAGTGTGTACTGTGCTCCTTGATTGGCTGGTTCGACTCAACTGCCATTGAAATTAGGAAGATGAAGGGAATACCCTTGTTGCGCCGAGAGTACCGGTCTAGCCAATCAATTCATTGGGATTTGGGAAAGAGAATCCACGGTGTTAATGTGTTTATAAATTTTAAGCAAGGGAACGTTTGTATCCCTACCACTAGGGGAATGTACCGGCGACTGACTAACTATGCCGATCCTACTTTAGGTCATTTTTTATTATCAAAGAAACGTTCCGAGCGCCTGTACTTCATACTGCACCAAATTGAAGGGTGAGCTGCTTATAAACCGCCCTGATCTACATGCTTTTTTATAAATTACCTGCATTTCCTCTTGTTTACAACACACCGTCACTGAGTTATGATGCAACGACTTTATCGATACAAATACAGAGCAACTGCAAAACCTCAAACAACGTGTTTCGACTGAATAAACTTTGACCTCTAGCCTCTCTTCCGGTATGCGCAGTAGAATATGGAACTACCACTGTCACTGCGCAAATACACGTTGCCTTGCATCTTTACGGGGGATGTTAGAAGATTTTCTCTAAAAAAAATATTACAAACGCTGCTACACGTGACGAAAATCACCACTCGTTGATCCGTAAAGTGCCACTTCACGTATTGGTGAGTTTTCAATTCGTTACGATTCAAACGATTTGGCAAAACACTCATCTCGGGCAACTGATTCATGAGATTTCCGTTGTCATTGGATTCACGGTAGTATGTGCACGATACGGTGACGTCATACTCGACGTATAACACAATTATGTGATTTGTCTCCCATCGCTGAATATTACCCGAGCTGAGTAGCACGTGCATTTTGGTGCATCTCATTGAATATGTGCATAAAATAGGGAAAACAATTTTTTTCAACCCCCTAAAGTTCTTGCAAAATTAAATGATAGACTTAGGGGCTGTGGTGATGTTCAACTATTAAACATGTACGATCCCCAAACCAGCTTCAAATCGATCTTTAGCTCATGGTTTTTGCTGTAGTTCTTTTATTTTTATTGCCAGTAAAAATATTTCATCCGTCATGATGGTGGTGGTAAAATAATAGTTACAGCACAATTTTGCAGTGTTTTCGTGGTAACAGATGTCACCAGGTTATTTCGAAGCTCAACATTCAATAAATCATTATTTACTGTAAACGTGACGGTGTGATCAATAGTGATTGGTAAAAACATGCACTGACGCTATCAATGTCTGCTGATCAACTTCCCAACACTCTCTCATGACTCGTAAAATCACTGATTTCGTCTTGCATATTAATTTAATGTTCTTATCTGTGTTGCCTTGAATACTAATATCGATCAGTACCAAGCATTTGTTTTGTAAGATAAAGGTATATATATATATATATAACTTTCATAACAATGTACGCGAGTTGTGATGATGATTTCACGATCAAGACACAAACCAATTATTTCACTGTCTTGCTTGTGTGATCTTTATTGCATATCACACCCTTGCAAACCCCAATCTTATACATTCTTAATAGTACTCACGATTTAAGTTTATTAGTGAAATCAGTCAAATTAGGCTACATATGTATATGTATATTGACTTTCGTTAACCGGTCACCTGTCTACAAACATAGCAAATTAATTTTTGTTTTGGCAACAACAAATTATGCCACTTTCAAGAGGAATTACAAATTACATAATTACAAATTAATTATTTTGCGAATAGGGTGATCTTTTTAAGATATCATTCATCACCCACAGCAAAGTAAATTTAACATCAGGGAAACATCAGTGTAAAGTATCTGTTACAGTAGCATATTAAGATCTGCTAAAATAATTCAAAAAAATATTGTGATTTATCGTAATGTTTATATTTTTCCTGTTTGCCAGTTACTAAACTACATGTGGTTACCGTAGTATTATGCTTAGGCCAGACTTATTTTATTCCTTGTTTCTCGAGTTTTTATAAGGCAATTTTTTTGAGGAGGCCGGGGAAAAAAAAAATTAATTCTTTTTTTCCATTAGATTCGTGTGATTCTCAAAGAATTGTAAGTGAGATCATTGATCAGAGAGAAGAAATGAAATTTTATTTTATTTTATTTTATTTTATTTTCAGCTCCTGTTCATTCGGCGGGTTCGCGAAACAAGGGATAATAAAAGTCTGGCCTTAGTGATATATAGTCCTGTAACTTCATTTGTGCACACTTCCCCTATTAACTCTGAATATACAGTGAATTTCATAAAGGCATGAATGTCTTTAACATAAAATATTTATAAATGTGTCATAAATTTCAAATGACTGTTGAAAACAACTTGACCAATCAGAACATGAATGCATGACAGTAATTCGGACAATGATATTCTAGGAAACCAGCAAAGACTCATGGGTAATGGGCGTTACCAGTTGGCTTGTATAATCCATGTTTTTTAGATTTGAATGAAGTGCGAGTATTTCAGTGTGAATGTTTACTGAGTTCTAAAAAAAAATCATACCTTTATGAAATTCACTGTATTGTTACTGTTTGCTATTAATGTTATCAATTTTCTTTCATTTGTTTAGGATAAAATGTCTGATGCTAATCGGTTAGTATTTGCAGTTATAGAGTTTTTAGAAAGTCAGGTACAAGTGGGGAATCTTTCATCTGATGCCACGGAAAGCTTGGAAGGTAACTATTTAATATATATCCAGAAAGTATATGTCAATTTGTGAGTAGATTTTCAGATATCTGATGCACTACACTGCAATTCTTGTTAGCATACCACGTGAATATTTATCTCGGGTGCATTTTTATATCAATTGTAAGTGTAAAATAGAAAAGCATTTGATGCCAACAAATAGAAACAAATTATTGCTGAAAACAAGTCTTTCTGTGAATTTCACAAAGGTATCAACATTCATAAGATATTTACCCTGGAAGACCCTCGCGCTTTATTCCAATCTGAAGCACACCTTTTTATTGGCTATATAAGCTCATTGGTAAGGTCATTACCCATGAGTCTTTGCAGGTTTTCTTCATTCATTGGTCGATTTACTGCCATGCATCTATTAATGCATTGTGATTAGTCAAGAGGCTTTCAGATACCATTTGAAATTTATAAAACACTGATTTTATAAATGTTTATAATCTTTATAAATTATAAAGAATATAACTTATATTCTCCGTCAGGGACAGACTAGATTAGTGGTTTTTCACAGCACTATTTCCAGCTCCTTTTCTCTAGACAATTATCAATAGAAATAAAATATAAATAACATATTTTATATAAAAACATTCATGGAATTCAGTGCTTTGAGGGGGGGAAATGAGTGAATTGATAAATTAGACTTTTGTTTTCATTTGGGGAAAATGTTTCCAATTTCCAATACCACAATGTTTTAATAAAAATATTTAATATGTGTAAACATATTTGCTTCATTAATAACCTATAGTCGTTGAGATGAATTCATAGGATATATCACACCATTCTCTGCTTGTGCAAAAAAACATCAATATTGTCAGTGACCTCTTTCACTGATAGCTGTAAGCCTTGAGTACATCCTGAAGTGAATGCAGAGTTTACCACTGGTATGTGTGATATGAATATTCTACATATAGTCTCTGTTGGAATCGTCCTTCAGTTGCATACCAGTATAAGCTAATACTGGCGTCTCATTTCACTAGCTAATGAAGACAATATTTTATTGATTCATTGTTTATAATATTACATACCAAAGTTAGATCTAATTTGTTTGAAACTGTTGTAGCTCACCCCCTCCTCCCCCTGACAATGCATGCAAACAATAACTGTTGGTTATGGTAGGAAATATATACATTACGAGGTAATTGTTCACTGGGTTTTAATTTCGCTTCTTAGTGAAATTTGCTTAATTACATCTATAGGAACATGTGATATAACAATTACTGTAAAGTACTTTATTTTTGCTTGGAATTAATTTTCGCTGAAGAAATGATTCAGTGAAAATAAAATCCACTGAATATATCGTTTTTTCTGTATCTTACATTCAACTCGTCAAAAATCAGTGAAAATAAAGTCTTCCATACAAAAAGTTACGGTATAGTGCTAAATTTGTGAAGTTAAAAACCCAGTGAAATTTGATTTGGGAATTGTTTGCTCATTGAATAGCCATTGTTCTCCGCTGATGATCATCCGGCTAGTTTATTGTTTGCAATATTTTCTTTGAAGTTTATGCGTTTTTTTCATTGTAGGAAGGATGTTTGAGATATGTATTAACTTTTTGGCCCAAAAAAAAAAAATCCTTGCCTTTGGCTTCCATTTGTTTTTATGACATTAGTTATAATACTTGCTCTGATCTCCTGGCTATTCCATGGTGTTCTATTTTTCTACCTCTCTTTGTCTAGAAATATGAAGAGATAATATCTACTCTTACATCATCTAGACAAATTAAAACAAATTAATTTACAGTTTTAGCTGAGATATAATAAATTTGATAAATATTTCAATCAAATTAATAATAGTAATATTATTCCTTGTCGCCACGTTCTATTTATGTGAAAGCAAGGCTGGGGACGCAAAAAGTCAGCAATCGGCTACAGTGGATGCAAGCCAATTACATGATGCCCAACAACTGTGCTATGGTGACCTTCAATATTCGTTTTATTATATAATGCCATAGCAATTTGTCAATTTTGGTTTAGAAGTTCAAGTTCATACTCTACAGTGCTTCATGGCGCCCCACCCTGACTTTTGTATATCCTGTGGTTGTATTTTCATGAGCAAAGCCCAACACAATGTATCAAAAATATTTTTAATATTTATTTGGTTAATTAATCAATTTAAATAATGTCTAAATTATTTCAACAGTTAAAGTCTGAGATTTAATAATTACTGATTAGTCAAGTTCATGGTGCCTCTGAATTTTTTACTGATTTGTCATTCTATGACCTACAGTACATGCCAATGTCTTTCTACTTTCAGTTGCTATACAGTGTTTAGAGACGGCTTATGGCTTGGATACAAGTAATGAAGAAATTGCAAATCAATTAAAAACAGGCAAACCATTATTGGAAATATTCAATGAAGCCACCAAAGTCAGTGAGGTATGTAAATGTCAGTTGCTTTTTTTTTTAATACGATCATCTCAAGCAGTTAGAAGAGTTAGAAATTAATGTGTGAATGCGGATGCTGTTATGTTATACACTGATAAGTAAACACCCTAGCATGCTGATTATGTTTGTATGTAAGGACATAATGTGAGTTAATGTGATATAACATTATTGACATTCCCTAAATAGACCACACATTTAGGGACAGTATTCCATCTATGATATTTATATATTCTCGACTACGGCCTTCGGTTCTAGAGACATCATACAACGATTACCTGAAATAAAGTGATGATGTTCTCACTGAAATAATGTTTATTCCAGATCACATTTCTAAACACTGAAGTGAATTCATATTCAAAGATTTGAATCTACACATTAGCTACTTGTGTTTATTCACAGGTTTCACCATACTTGTGTTTATTCACAGGTTTCACCATACTTGTGTTTATTCACAGGTTTCACCATACTTGTGTTTATTCACAGGTTTCTCCATACTTGTGTTTATTCACAGGTTTCTCCATACTTGTGTTTATTCACAGGTTTCTCCATACTTGTGTTTATTCACAGGTTTCACCATACTTGTCTTTATTCACAGGTTTCACCATACTTGTGTTTATTCACAGGTTTCACCATACTTGTGTTTATTCACAGGTTTCACCATACTTGTGTTTATTCACAGGTTTCACCATACTTGTGTTTATTCACAGGTTTCACCATACTTGTGTTTATTCACAGGTTTCACCATACTTGTGTTTATTTACAGATTTCACCATACTTGTGTTTATTCTCAGGAACTTGTGTTTTAAGACGCAGCCTGATTAAAACAGGATCCTAATTTAGCCTTTTTTTTTGTTTTTGTTTCTAAATATAATTTAATTCATAATCACTTAATATATATTTCATTCATATTTATTTGCTGGTAGTAATTTCTCGATTACCAATAAAAATACCAGCAAATAAATTTGAACAAAATAAAATTTATGAAAAAATATTGAAATAAATTAAATTTGAAATTAAATTCAAATCTGCTTTTAATCAGATTATTTAAAAAATGGAATCTAATACGACAAAGAATTGTTGTGGACTGTAAAAACATCTTAACTGAATTTGCCTCATGTGGAAATATGCCCCCACTCCGATTGATATTCTGGTCATGTTTCACATTGGTTACATTGTTTTACAGGAAGGTGCTGCAGCAGCTGGTGGTGTTAGTATGCAATGTGAACCCACTCCTAGTCAAGATATAACACCTCAGCAAAGAGCTGATGCAGAAAAGTTGAAAGTAGAAGGTAAACATTATGTATAGGTCGTTCACAAACAAAGATAAAATAATGGCACAGTCACTGTACAACTGCCTTTATGTAGCCACGTTGTCTATTGCTGTATTAATGCATTTTTATAATAAAATTTAGTTATAACCTTTTTTCCATTTAAAAAAAAATTAACTGGTTTAAAATACTGATACCAACCACAGCCAAACACTATACAAAAGCTATTGTACACACATTGGAAGACTGATACGATATGAACTCTAAACATAACGAATTGGTTTCTGCACAAAAACTACCGTAAAATCAGTATTAGAAGCCGCACCCATTCTTTTCGAATAACTGAAAACCAAAAAATCAAAATTTTTCATATGTGTAGATGCTCTAATAGAAACCGCATCCCTTCTGTTGTATTGTACCATTTTAATAGAAACTGCGGCTTCTAATACAGATTTTACAGTACTACCCTTCTGGTGTTCATTTGGTGTTAACAATATCTTCTTTTTTTTTACAGGTAATAATTGTATGAAAGCAGAAAAATATAAACAAGCATTAGAGTATTATACTCAAGCCATATCAGTAGACTGTATGAATGCTGTATATTACTGTAATAGAGCAGCTGCTTATAGTAAAATAGAAGAACACCAGGCAGCCATTGAAGACTGTAAAAAAGCTTTAGTTATCGATCCAAAATATAGTAAAGCTTATGGAAGAATGGGGTAGGTTGATTTTAGTGAAGACAGATTTCTCCTCAGACTAATAAAACAATTTGTTTGCTTATTGATTATCAATGACAGGTAGTGAGTTTGTGAAGAAAATTGTGTTGAATTTTGTAAGCTGTCCACTAGATTTCAGATTGAGTGAATGAATGAATGAATGAATGAATGAATGAATTTGTAATTTGCCTTAGTACATGTATTTGTTATCAGTAAGGCACTGTGAAC